AGGGTCCCACCAGAGTCAGAGATACTCCCATTCCCACTGTTAAGAATCCTACAAAAAGCCGGGCGGTGGTGGCGGCGCACGCCTTTAATCCCAGCACTCGGGAGGCAGAGGCAGGCGGATCTCTGTGAGTTCGAGGCCAGCCTGGGCTACCAAGTGAGTCCCAGGAAAGGCGCAAAGCTACAGAGAAACCCCGTCTCGAAAAATCAAAAAAAAAAAAAGAATCCCACAAAAACACCAAGCTACAAAACAATAACGTATGCGCAGAGGACCTAGGTCAGACGCGTTCAGGCTCTGGGGTTGTCACTTCAGTGTCTGTGAACCCCTATGAGCCCTGACTAGTTGATTCTGTGGTCCGAGTTCTCCTGGTGTCCTCGACCTCTCTGGCTCCTACAGTCCTTCCTCCCCCTCATTTATGGGGTTCTGCCTAATGTTTGGCTATGGGTCTCTGTATCTGCTTCCATCAATTGCTGGATGAAGCCTCTGACATCGACTGGGCGAGGCACGGATCTCTTCTTTTGGCTGAAATGGCCTGCACTTGAGCAGGCTCATTTAATATTTTTATAATTTTTTTAAATATTTATTCCCAATCATTCCCTGCTGTTCTAAAAACTTTTTTCCTCATATATTATGCCATCTGCTTGGCACCTGAAGTCACCAACTTGCAACTCCATACAAGAGTTTTCAAACTCAGCTAGTCATAATGGTATCTGAGCACTTGGGAGGCAGAGACAGGCAGATCTCTATGAGTTTGAGTCCAGCCTGGCCTACAAAGTGAGTTCCAGGCCAATCAGGACTACATAGAGAGATTCTGTCTCAAACTCTGTTGCTTCGACCCATTGAGGAAACTATAAATCAAGTACAGCTGCCCAGTGTGGACATGTGGACAGAAACAAGCTTTATTAGGGACTTTTATATTTATGGAGGTTTAAATGTCCCTTTGTAAATGTTCACAAAACAGTGTAAGAATAGAGAATGATTATTTTAATTTTGCTTTTGTTTTAAATGTCTTTGCTTAGCCAAAAACAAACAAAACAAAACAAAACGGCACTATTATGTTGGCTCCATTTGAAGTAAATTGGTTTGGTAAACCTAAAATGTTGAGAACAGCTTAGTTTTAAGAACGTAAATTAAAATAGGGGCGAATATTTGGGGTAGTTCATCTGATTGCAATGTTTCCAAATCCAACCCTAGAATCATTTCAGAAATCCATTCCTCCATGTTAGGAGTAATACAAAGTTACGGATCTTTGTCCCGCCTGAACTGGGGCATCATTGTTTCTTTTGACTAGCTGTGAGCCCCTGATGTGTTACTTAATTTAACAAAAACAGTGTTTTGTTTTCCCCTACAGACTTAATTTGTCTAGGATAGAGGCTTCTTATAGGATACAGTCTTAAAAAATGCTTTCAAAATTATGTTCTTCCTTATGCCAATAATCCCAGCACTTGGGAAGTAGAGACAATGGGGATTGCTGAGTTTAAGGCCATCCAGGGCTAAGGGACACACACACACACAACACACACACACATACACACACACACACACACACACACACACACACACACACACACACACACACACACACACGGTATTTCTTTAGGAGCCTTTAAGGTGAAATGGCATGCAAAGCCAGAAAACAGCTGTTTATAAGCTGTTTAAAAGAGGGAGAATTTGCCTGGCGGTGGTGGTGCACGCCTTTAATCCCAGCACTCGGGAGGCAGAGCCAGGCGGATCTCTATGAGTTCGAGGCCAGCCTGGACTACCAAGTGAGTTCCAGGAAAGGTGCAAAGCTACACAGAGAAATCCTGTCTCGAAAAACCAAAAAAAAAAAAAAAAAAAAAAAAAAAAAAAGAGGGGGAATTTGAAAGTAGTAGCAAGCTCATTGTACTTGTACTTGTGTACTTGTGTACTTGTGTGAGAGAAAGGCAGAAAATGGGACATTTAAAAAGCTCTTGGATCGCTTCTGAAGTTTCTTCCTTAGAAGAGTGATATGTGAACCTTAAATACCATTAGCATAAGGAGCCCAGGCTATGCTGAGTCATTGATAAAATTTATTTCTGAACAAGAAGGGAATACTGGACGATTCCTTTTGCCACACCCCAGTGGTTGGAGATGGGAAGAGAGGGGTATAGGGATTGGAGGGATGATGAAGGAGCAGGGAAGAGCAGGGAGGAAGCAGTGGGAGAGAGGAGTGTCTCTGCCTTCTTGTCCCTTGTCCTCCAGCCAGAGGCTGAAAGCAGGAAGTGTTGTGTCTACAGTGCGATCTTCTAGTTTCTGTCCGGTCCCTGTAGCCAGGACAGAGTTTCATACTCTCTGTAAACTGTATTCATTTGGGATGTCTCTCCGGACTGGAAAACATAAAAGTGCCCAAGAAATGGATAAAGAAGTGTTACATGAGTATTTTGTGCTCAGCAAACACTTTCCACCTCCAAAATGTCAAGGATAATATAAACGTATAGCAGGAGAAATATGCAAATAGCTGTGACTCTGTTTCCCCCCGAAGTTTGTCACGGGACGATTCTGAAAGTACACTGGAATTAAAAGTGCCCAAATAAAAGTCTGTATTACTTAGTATTTGATATTTATTTGTTTGTTCGTTGTGAGGGTATAGCCTAGGCTTGCCTGGAACTCACTATGCAGCCCAGGCTGGCTCCAAGCTTCCTGTGATCTTCCTGCCTCAGATTGCAGAGTATAATTGTGCCACCATACCCAGAAGTAGTAATAGACTTAAAACAGTGATCATATCATTTGAATCAGCATTTAGCAGTATTTCTATATCTAACTCTGGTAGTAGAGAGGCTTTTTAGGGGTTTTTCATCCCCAACACTACATATAGCAATCCCATGATAGGTGATCAATAAACAGTAAAGATTCTATCACAATAGCTAATCACTGGGCAGTCCATAGGAATAAAATTAAAAAGCAACCAAACAACTTTCACCATGAGCGGTGAGTCTTCCTTCTGGATCTGGACTCTCCTGACGTTATGGCATGTCAACGTCAGAATCGACGTATGATGCTGTTTGTACCTTTGTGTATAAAAGCCCCAAAACCAACAGAGAAAAGATGTAGTGATGTAGGGACCACCAAACAATGCACACCACTACTCTGTGAAACAGAATAAGATATTGACCTAAATACAACTCCATATTGTGTTGCATTTTCAACACAGCATCCAGCCCTACACAGTGATACACACCTGCAATCCCATCACTCACGAAGCTGAAGTAGAAAGATTAGGAGTTCGAGATTAGCATGAGCAACATCGTGAGACCCTATCTTGTAAACAAACAAACATTGCACATTAATATGCATTATTTCATTTCAGCCCTGTAACCAAGGGAAGAATTCCCCAGAAGGGTACCCACCAAGTGCAAACAGGGATCATGGGTGAAAGGTATTAGAAGGATGTTTCTTCTTCTCTATTGATAGAGTTTGTGAAGTGGTAAGTTTGTGAGTGGTCATGATGGTTAGCTCTAATTGTTGGGGTTTGAATGAGAAATCTCCATAGTCTCATGAGTGTGAACAGGTGGTCTCTAGTTGGTAGAACAGCTTAGGGAAGGGGTTGGGAGGTGTGGCCTTGCTGGAGGACGTCTGTCACTGGGCTGGGCTTTGAGAGTGTACAGACTTGGCCCACTTCCATTTCGCTCCCATTGCATGCGTTTGCTGTAGTGGGTAGCCGTTCCTGCTTTGACCTGGAAATACCACCCTCTTTGAGGCTTTGGTAACTGTCATGCCTACAAGACGGAGCTGAGAGAGGACCCCTGAAGACCCGAGATCCCGATGGGGGAACTCTCTTAGTTCCTGGACCCTGGACGCTGGAGGTAGACTGAGCAGAGTTCTCCAGAGAACACTGCTGGACTGCGCTACACTTTTCCCAGACCCTGTAACCTATCCCTTCACTTGTAAGTTACCCCACAAAATAAACCTCCCTTTTAACTACGTAGAGTTGCCTTAATATTTTAACCAATAGTTTGCAGTTGAAGATATGATCTCTCAATGTTCTGCTCTGGCCTGCTGCCATGCCTCCCCTGTCGTTATAGACTCCCCCTCTGGAACTATAAGCTTAAATAAGTTCTTTTTTTCATAAATTGCTTTTGGTCATGTTGTCTTATCACAGCAACAGCAAAGTAACTAATACAGCCAACAGCTTGACCTAGAATGACTTGTGAAGAGTCTCTCTCTCTCTCTCTCTCTCTCTCTCTCTCTCTCAAAACAGGGTTTTTCTGTGTAGCCCTGGCTGTTCTAGAACTCACTCTGTAGACCAGGCTGGCCTGGAACTCAAAGATCCACCTGCCTCTGCCTGCTGGATTAAAGGAATGCACCACCACCACCCAGCGGGGAAGACAGTCTTAATGGAGGGTTGTTTACGCTGGGTGACACTGGCTAAGAATCTTTCTCACTGGGAGTGGTTTCAGGAGGAAGGGGGTTTTAACATTGCTGACTAGCCCGTGCCTTAGTTAGGTAATATTGCGCTCTACAGTAAACAAAATTCCCTAAAGAGTCTGGAAAGCTGTTTGTCCAATTGGACTCCAATCACTTCCGAGATTAGAAGAAAACTTTGACCATATTGTTCTTCAAGGGCGTCAGCTAACAGTCCCCTCTCTAGTAGTCACCCTGTTGCGTTTCTTTGGCTTGATCTGCATTTTCTTTGTCAGGCAGGCATGATACCACCACCACCACCACCACCATGTATACCCTCTACCTACCAGATAACCCTCCTCCACCAGATACACCCTCCCCCCACCAGGTAGGTATAAAGTTCTGTCACTGAGGTGTATACCTACATCCCCAGCCATCCAAGACTTGTTCAAACGTACACAGTTTAAAAGTTCTCGAACACTTGAACTTGCCCACTCTCATCCCAATCTTCAAATGGGGAGCATGTACAGGTGGGTGGATTCGCACACAATGACAGAAGAGCAGAAGTCAGGGTTTGCCAACAATACAGACTAAATACTTTATTAGGTTCCAAAATGAGAAAATGGTAGTGTTAACCTATTTTAGTATAAATCCACCACCCTCCGCAAAGAGCCCGCCTTAGCGTCCACGGCGCCCCAGTCATGGTAGCGCCGGTACTCCTGAGGTCTCAGTAGGTACTGCCGCCCCCGGTAGTTGGGCATCTCGTAGAGGACCCAGCAGCCCTCCAGCACGTGCAGAGAGCGCACCTCACTGAGGTGGAAGCGGTCCTGGATGCAGGAGCAATCTTCACTCAGCTCCATCATGAGGCCTTTGTGGTCTTCTCTCTCATACAGCCGCATCCTGTGGGAACCGGTCTGCTTGGGTCACAGAAAGATCAGAAAAAAGCGGTTGAGTCTCTTCCAGAACTGAGCCGAGCAAACAACGGGTGAGTGTGGCTGGCTGGGACAGAGGCTGTTTTGGAGATGGATCCCCTGCTAGCATTACAAACTCCTACATGCCTAGTTTCTGTTTTTCATCTAGGAGGTGGAATTTTTAAGGTGTTAAAACCGAATTTGAGTCAAAAAATCAAATATTTTAATTCCCAATTCCCTGCGTTAATTCTAAGCCGTATATTGGAGGAAATATAAATAATATATGTTGATTAGTATTTTTAGCTTTATTTATATTTTATCTACATATAAGTCCATCATTAAAATAGGACTTTTTTACTCTTTTGGCTTTTGAGAATTTCATACACTAGTACTGAATTTACATCGTTCCCAACAGTCCCATTCTCCTTATTTTGTAATTCCCTAGACTGGCTTCAAACCCAAGACCCTTCCGCCTCCGTTTCCTGGATGCTAGGATTATAGGGTATCCCTACGCCTGGCTAAAATAGAGTTCAAAAAAATCATGTATTTCTGTGGAAAGTTAACTTAAACAACCAGTTAAACTAGAATTTAGCTGATTTTCAAAATTAAGGAAAAGTATCATTTCCAAAATTGGTCTCTGCCTTTACACAGTTTTGGACCTCCATACTTTTCCATGTTTCCTACTCCACAGTAAGGTATAATTAACTCTCTTATCAGAAATTCCTTTATAGATAAAAATCAATCCGATAGGCATAATGCCTTCTCATGACCAACCAGCTTCCCATTTATAAATTTTGTTGTTTATCCCAGCATAACAGTGCATTCATTGACACAGCTTTGGATTAACCTAATGGTAGCAACGATAAAGTGGATTTTTTTCTAAGTTGATTCTTCCTTATAATTCTATCTTCCTGCCTGTTTCCCTGTGAACTTAGGCAAGCATTTAAAGCCCACTTAACCCTTAGGTACTTATACAAAAAAAAAAACAAAAACAAAAAAAAAAACTTACTCTCTGGACCCCACATCAGTAAAACAGTGAGGGCCCTTGGGTAACAAGAAATGAAGCCAAACAGGACTCACGTGGGGGATGAGGCGGCAGGAGCGGATGGAGTCGCTGAAACCCATCCACTGCTGGTAGTCAGGGTAGTCCCCACGCCTCAGGAAGTACTGGTGGCCCTGGTAGTTGGGGCGCTCATAGAGCATCCAGCAGCCACTGTCCACTCTGATGGAGTTGCAGCGGCTGAAGTAGGTCTGCAGGTTGGGGCAGTCGCTGCTGCACTCATAGCAGCGGCCCTGGAAGCCGCGGTCCTCGTAGAAGGTGATCTGTAAGGGAAGAGCAATTCTGGATGAGATCATTTTCTCCGTGTGTTAAGGCCGGTCCCTCGGGCTTTTTTGTTTGGTTTGCGTTCTGCTCACCTTCCCCATGGCTGGCTGACCGTGGTGAGTTCAGTGTCCAGCCGGAGAGCGGCGGGTCTATATAGCAGGAGGGTTGCTGCGTTAGCGGAACTGCACAAAAGGGGCCCTCGGGGCTGAGGGGATTTTATGGATCGCTTTTACATGCTGCATTCAGTGGCGGTGATTGTAGATTCGCCTGGTTCTCTGGTGTGTTCCAACGCTGCCCTGGATGAGCTGCTCGGTGTTGTTTTATTTGGATTCTTACTGTTTTTTAAATTTATCAGCACATCAGCCTGAACTTTTGACCTGAAGTCCATGTCCCTACATTTTGATTCCATTATACTTGGTAAGTCTGGGAGAAATCTGTGCATTTGTAGAAGTGCTTCACCCCGCCCCCCCACCCCCCATCCCCGCCTGAGTTGAGAGGGGTGGAATTCTGTGAGTACTGCAAATGTTGACTAGTCTCCTGGTACCACAGAGGCTGGTCGATGTTATTCCTCCTGCCCACTTATTTTCTTTATAGGATTTGCTGGTTCGTACAGGATACCAGTCTAGATTCTGATCTTGGTTCTTCTCGACTGTGCTGAACCGATGCTCAGGACCGAACTAACTACTAGCTTCCTCTTTGGTGGGGGCACACTAGGTGACCCCAAATCAACCTCTGGTAATCAGCTTGTGTTAAGTACAAAGGGAAAGGTTCCCATAGTCATGAGATTCAAGACTGGCAAGTATGTATGAATTGTGTCCTCATTTCCAAGGGCAGGGAAAGCCCGAGAATTTCCGGTCTAAGAGTGAGATTTGAATCCAGGCTGCAGGGACATCATAAATGACCTCTCAGAGCAGGAGTTATCTTGTGGGAAATTGAATGATGAGAAGCAAAGAAGAGAACGAAGCCAAGAAAACAAAGGAGGAGGAAGAAAGGCACCCTCTGCCATTTGGCAGGTGATGGGGCACCTCTACCCAGGATGTGTGAATCACCTACTAGATAGACACAGTCTTAGTAAGTACCCTCAGACAAGGTTACTCAGAGTGATTTTGTCTAAACAAAGACAAATCCAAAAGCCAACATACCACCCACAGCATGCTGAACATCACCCTTCTCAGTCCAAATGACTAACCATTACTTTAAAAGACTTTTTAGCAGTTTTGTGAATCAAATATAGTATCTCAGAGATGCTAGACAGAGATCTGCTAATGAACTTTCTCTCTCTCTTTCTCTCTCTCTCTCTCTCTCTCTCTCTCTCTCTCTCTCTCTCTCACACACACACACACACACACACACACACACACACACACACACACACACACTACCTCTGTGCCCCAGCACTAACTATTACTTCTTTATTTCCAGCTTTGTCTTGTTCTAGCATCCCTCCAGCATGGCAAAGGGTTAATAATATGACCAGTGATACAAATCCACTCTGATTTCTGACAACATTGGGTCTAAAATCAATCTCCCCTCTCCCCCTCCTCTCTCTCTCTAACAGGATCTCACTATGTAGCCTAAGAAAGCCTTGAACATAGTGCAATCCTCCTGCCTCAGTCATTTGGTACTATGATTATAGGTGTGCCCTGCCAAATCTGGCAAATTTCTGAACTTTTTTTCCCCCTTTCCTCCCTCCTCGCCCATTCCTTTCCACTCCACTCCACTCTGTCTCTTTCTGTATGTGACAGTGGTGGGGATTGAACCCAAGGCCTTATTCAGGCCAGGCAAGTGCCGTCCCACTGAGATTCTCCATCCAGACCTTCCGCAAACCACACAACCAAGGTACACCTCTTCGACACAGCTCTTCCAGTGTTAGCTCTCTGAAAACTACCCTATTTCCTCAGGGTATGTGCTCTCTCTGGAAGCAACAAGTCATAAGCTTAACTGGTTTCCAGGCAGGCAGTTGAGATGTTTAGCTAACAGACATTAGCATTCGTAAAGGAGATTGTGTGTATAGTGTTTTGGGAACACTACTTGGTAATACTAGTGACATGGACAACAGTGTTGGAGTGACATAATTAAGGATGCCAGCCTGTTCTCTGACCAGATATTCAGTGTTCTCAAAGGTTCCTGAAATCTTTACTTCCACAGAGCCATTCTGTGACTGAAAAAGATGAGACTTGGAAAAGACATTAGAAATCTCATGTGCATTTGGGTGTGGTGGGGGGTAGGGAGAGGGGTTGGAGAGATGGCTCAGCTGTTAAGAGTGCTGCTCTTCCAGAGGACCCAGGTTTAATTCCCAGCACTTATATGGCAGCTCACAACTGTCTGTAACTCCATTTCCAGGGGATCTGACATCAGTACACAAACATACATGCAAGCAAAATGCTAATGCAAGAAATCAAGAGGAATCATCATTGTCTTTGTTAGGGTTTTTTTTATTGCTGTGAAGGGACGTCACGACCACAACAACTCTTATAAATAAAAACATTTCCTTGAGGGGGCTCGCTTCCGGTTTCAGAGGTTCAGTCCATTTATCATCATGGTAGGGAGCATGGTGGCATGGAGGCAGATGTGGTGCTGAGCTGAGAGTCTTTACATCTTGACTCAGGGGCAACAGGAAGTCAACTGACTGTCATACTGAGGGAAGCTTGAGCAAGAAACCTCAAAGCCTGCCCCCACAGTGACACACTTCCTCCAACAAGGCCACACCTCCTAACAGTGTCACTCCCTTTGAGGACCATTTTCTTTTCAAATCACCACAATCATTAAAAAAAAAAAAAGAAAAGAAAAGAAACCTTGTCAGCGGGTCTGAGAGTGGTGGTGCATGCCTTTAATCCCAGAACTTGGCAGAGGCAGGTAGATCTCTGTGAGTTCAAGGCCAGCCTGGTCTACATAGTGAGTTCCAGGACACCAGGGCTATGTGAAGAGAAGAAGAAAGATTTCATACATAAATGTGTATTTTATCACTATTCAGAGTAGCCAAGGTATGGAGCAACTTAAATGCCCTTCAGGAGATGAGTGGATGAAGAAAACACAGTACATCTACTCTAAGGGAATTTATTCAGAAGGAAGGAAGAATGAAAAGATGTTGCTTGCAAAGAAATGGATGGAACCAGAGATCATCATATGAAGTAAAATCATCCAGTCTCACAAAAATGAAAATCACATGCTTTTCTCTCAAATGTAGAAACTTTATTTAAAAAAAAAAAAAAAGAGATGGCTTGGGATCAATGGGGGTGGGTAGGAGGGATATAGGGAAGGTCAGGGATAAATGTGAACTAAGTACAATGGTACAATGATACACAGGTGTGAAAAAATGTCGCAATGAAATCCATTCTGTGGTATGCTAACTAAAAGTATTAACAATAAGTAAATAATAAAGCAATAAATAGTAATAAAAATCAAACATTCGTTTTTCATAAGCCTTCTTTTTGCTTAAATTTTTTACTTAAAATTTTTTGACTAAAAAATTCTTTTAATGCATAGTCTTTCTATACAGCCCAGGCTGGATTTACACTCTGTATGTAGTGTGAACTGGCCTTGGACTCCTGATCTTCTTATCTCACCCTCCAAAGTATTGGAGTTATAAGCCGCACCACCCTGCCTGGCCCATTCCTCTATTTTTTTTTTTCTTAAGAAAATCTCCAGATAAGGTCTTACTAGCAACTTACTAAGATTCCCTTTACTATTTTTACTAGTATCTGCTAATTACACATCATGGGTTTCATTGTGACTTTTCATACATGTATATATTGTATTTTGATCATATTCACCCCCATTACCCTCTCTTATCTCCCTCCCACTCCTAATCCTCTTCCTCCTGTCGCTGGAGTTATCTCCAGTCCCACCCAGGCCTGCAGCCACTCAGACCCAAATAAACACACACAGGCTAATATTATTTAAAACTGCTTGGCCGTTAGCTCAGGCCTACCACTGACTAGCTCTCGCACTTAAACTCAGCCCATTTCTGTTAATCTAAATGTCGCCACGTGTTCTGTGGCTTTACCTGTGTACCTGTTACATGCTGCCCCCTGGACAGTGGGCTGGTGTCTCAACTCAGCCTCCCTGTTCCCAGAATTCTCTTCTCCGCTTGTCCTGCCTATACTTCCTGCCTGGCTACTGGCCAATCAGAATTTTATTTATACAGAGCGATATCCACAGCATCCTCCCCTTCCTCTTCCTCATCTCCCTAATGCTTTCATGTCCTTTTTTTGGTGTTGTTTTTGATGACTCAGTGAGTTACATTTGGGTGTTTACAGGAGCATGGGCACTTACCAGAAGCTATATCACTGAAGAAATTGCCTGTCCCCCCCCCCCCCAGCATCCATTACCAAGGAATAAGTTCCTCTAGCTTTTATTTTCTCTCTGCCCCTTCTTCTGGGATGTTTCCTGAGCCTCGAGTGAATGGGGGCAATGTAGCTGTTCAGTTAGTGGCTGAACATTAGACTATCTCTGAATCTCATCACAATGATGAGGTGTGAATTGCTACAATTTCCACGGCCTACTGAAAAACCAAAACCACTTCTGGACCAAAGCAGATAGCAATAATCAATGTGTATATATAGTTATTTAGAAGGCCATTTGATGGGTACATTTAGCAAAATAAGAGCAAGCACTCCCCACTAAGACCTCTATCAGCCTCAGCCACAGGCTTCTGACTGGATTTGCAGGGTTCTTTCGTATGGAATAAATTCAAATCCCATCAGAGAGTGGTTGGTTACCCCAAGAGGTTTGCCACTACTATAGCAGTGGGGACTTCTTTCTGGCCTGCTGGTAGTGTTGCACCCAGGGCCCACAGCTGGATAAAACTGTTGATGACTACGCTCCCCCAGAAGCCTTATCCCTTCTAGAAATGAGGGCTAGTCATCAGGGAGGAAGCTTTCAGCACAACTCTAGTTTGACTTCTCTATTTCTTGGAAGTAGAGCCCGTGGTGTCTTCGGCAATAGGATCTTACCACTAAGAGTCTTTTTCACTCCTTAAGTAGAAACACTATTTTCTATATAGTCCTTTCCTTTATTCTATAAAGTTCTTGTTCACATAACGGGAGGACCAGGGTGGAAATGCCATCACATAAAGTACAGTACTTACACTTTATAAAGG